AAAAATACACTAAAAGATACATATACAACTCAAAAATACATTGCTAGAAGTAAGGGAGAAAGCTACTTAGACCAGTTTCAAAGAGAATGGGCCAAATGGCAAAACTTTTTTTGAAACACCCAAACTTGAAATTACGACTGATTTACCATAAGTAACTTATCAATTTATAAATATATTTGTTGTATTGAGTAAATGTAAATATTGATTACGCTCACACTGACAGCTAGCTTAGAAATTCAAAATGTAATACAAATTTTCAACAATCCTACCTTTCCTTTCTGATAATTGTATTGATGTTGGTATGATAATGAATGAGTGTGTGTATGTCTTTATATATGTTTGTGTTATGTCATGTTTATATATTGTAACTGTATTGTGTACTAATGTAAAAATTTGAAAAAATAAAAATAAAAAAAATAAAATAAAAATTATTGGCAATGCTTGAGCTAATGTAAAACACATTTTTCAAAGTATATTCCTGATATACTATCGCAAATCTCATTAAAAACAATAGGGTTATTATTTCTATCCCAATTTATATAATTGCTTTTATTAAAATAACACACTTTTTGGTCACATATTCTTAAAATAGAAATGGTATTTTCCAGGAATAAGATGGATAAGTGAAGTGATTAAAACATCATGTGATGCACGTCTTTGCTGAAATATTTTCATTAACTCGGATATGAAAGATACATTTTTGCTGAATCATAAATTATTTAAGATGAAAATATATAGCATCAATCAATCCATCAAATACTGTTGGTTGCTTTGAAAATACACATACATTTTCTTTTATCAATATTCACCTTTGACAAGTGTGTAGAAATTTGCAGCTTTTGTGGACTGGCCAAAACAAAATTTCTTGACAAGTGAATATGCTGCCAAAAAATAATGTTGCAAAGAAAGTAAATTAGAATTAACAATATTTTAATTGAATTAGAATTATCATTATTTAATAATTGAATTAACATTTTCATTATTTTGATAATTGAATTAGAATTTCCATTGTTTTGATGATTGAATGACAAAATAATTAAAGAAATAAGCCTCATTCCACACAGTCGATCATGCACTATAGCTGTGTGATAGCTATATGTAGAGATGCAGTAGCCATGCATGGTTGTTCAAATATCATTGATGATTTTCTTGTATTTTATAAATTTCTTGTATGTAAATTCTGTTGACTCAAACAGGATTCAATGTAACTATAATATACCGGTAAACCACATTAGACTCTTTAGAGCATGTGATTGACTAAATTGAGCTTTGATTCTTTGAGTTAAAGGGACATGTGTTGTGTGTCTTAAGGTGATAGGTTTGTGTCACCATTTTTCAGTAGAATTTCTTCAAATTTTGTAGTTATACTGCTTTGAAGAAAAAAAACATAGGTTGTCAGAATTTTAGAGATTTCAAATGGAAATTTATGTATTTATTGAACAAGCTTGCATCATTCTTGGTTGGCAGTCATTTGTAGATACGCAGAACAACATTTTATCTAAAATATTTTATCTTATAAGACATCCCTTATAAATGTTTTTTTTTCTGGTCCAAAAGTTCTATCCCTTCAGCATTATTTACCAATCCATATCAACAAATGTCTACACAATGGCTACTTTTCAATAATTTTGGAACATTTGCAATCATTCTAATTTTCTGAAATTGCTGAAGCTCTCAGGGCACTTACAAGGTAAAATATAGTAGTTTATTATTGTTGTTGGAATATTGTTTTATGCTTCCACTTCCTGTCAAATGTATCTTCTTTCCAAAAAGTTCTGATGTGAGAAACCAAAAGATGTAATACTTGGGTAATTAATGATATATTTGATATTGATAACTCCAATACATATTCTGTGTGTATCAGCACAGGTACTGGTAGCATACACGTATAGCCTGACTCTAGTTTAACAAACATTCCTTAATCTATGAAAGTAAATTTAATATTTGTCATAGGAATACATAGCTAAATTTGTGGATTTCTGAAACGTTTTTTCTGAACTCCAATTACATTTTCTATGTTAAAGACAGTACATTTGTTAAACTGAGGCCTTAAGATCATTATGCACTTTTAACAGGACTGAAGGAATTAACAAACGTGTTGTCCCCCCGTACCAAGGCTTTGCACGCGTGTATAGAGCAGCTGGCTGGTCATGTGGATGTTGTGTATGACATCACCATCGCCTATAGTAACACGAAAGACAGTTCTGGTCAACGCATACCAGCACCACCTATGACTGGTCAGTATTACGCTATGTGCTGCTGATCATTTTGTTTGTGGTTATATATTTGTGTATCTAAGCAACAACTTGTGAAACCTTTCTTTCTTTTCGTGGAAGTTCCATAACAGATGTGTATTACATGTATGTAAAGAAAAAGGAAAATACTTTTACTGGTAGTTTTTGAAAGTTTTTGAAAATAAATGCCCATGTCCACTGCTTAAGTGTTATTTTCTATACTTGGGCATACTTATTGAATATTTCACACTTGAACTGAGAAAAACTCAGAAGGCAGAAATCCATATTTGATCAAAAAAATGGTAAAATTACAAAGAATATGAATGTAATAGTATGGTCATGACTGTCCTTAGATTTCCTGCTGGGTAAGGTATCTAAGCTACACCTGAACCTGGAGCGGATTGCAATGCAGGATATCCCTAAGGAGGAGGAAAGGCTGCAAACCTGGCTGCACAGACTCTACGAAAGGAAGGACAAGTAAGTGTCAATGTCATAGTGATTTCTACCTTGTTACCAACCAGTTGGAGGGAATGTCTTTTGAGTACTGGATTAGTAATCTGATGTTCTGGGTTTGACGCCCAGTGGATGAGGCACTTGATAAGGGGATTTCAGTTAAAATGGTCCCATGTAGGGACCTGGGTACACATTATATAGAATAATCTTTCACAATCATGGTGATAGATCGTAAGACTTGAAAACAAGATTGTTCCATGGAGGGAAAGTATGGCATAGATGGTGAACCAAATATTTGTTTGTTATTGAATTTCAGTTTGGCCCAGGTGGACAAATACATAACATGAAGTTCAGGTTTTATGATTGGTGGCAGAAGTGACCTCTGTAACATTGGTACCTGCACACATATGATGACTTTGGAACACAATATAGGGAGATTTGTGTTCGAGTAGAGAAATAAGATTTTAAGTAGAGAGATTTTTTCACAGCATTGCGGCGTACGATAAGCTCCTTTGACAAATAAACAGTTAAAGAATTACATATATTTGATAAATAAATATTTTGAATGGGTATCTTAAAGATCCCCGTCCCTCCGCCTAAAACTGTAATGAGGCATTGGGGCATTGCTATTGCATAAGCAAATAATTCTGAACAATAACCCATACCTTGCAGGATTTTCTTCAGAGTTTTTGGGAAATTATGAAATTTCGATTTTTTTAATTTTTTTTCAATTGAACAAAATGAAACAAAACATATATTATTTGATGCAACAATGATTTATTAGAAATATAACACATAGAAAATAATAACAATGTCAATATTGATGAACAAAACACACAAAAAATGAGTAATTTTCTAACAATAATACTAAAACAAACAAAAATGCCCATTATATGAATCAATAAAATTCAGAGTGCCAATGCAACACGTTTAGGACAACGAAAAGAAAATAAAGGCGACAAAAAATAAATATCTTGCAGACTTAATTATTCTACAAAAAAATATAAACAAAAAAGAGAGACAAGTCTTAAATTTGTACCAATAATAATTCTAAATCCCAAGAAGTCGTATATATGCATACAATTTACAACATACAATATAGCACTTTTTTATACAAATATAATACAGTAGGCATTACCAACCAATAAAATTACTTCAAATGTAATAACCAATATAAAACAAATTGCACATTGTGTATGGATAACATTATAACAAACAATGTACTTTACTGTGTCATAGCAAAAATGTCACAATGAACAACAATAACAAAGTTCCACATACTTTACACAACAATTATATATTTCTACATACTATACAAATAACATACTATGTTGTGATATGAAAAATCACACTATACAACAATAATAAACTTTTACATTCTGAACAAAACAATAATAAACTTTCACATTATGTACAGATAATTGATCATTACATACCATATTGTGATATGAAAAAATATCACACTATATATAGCAATAATAAACTTTTACATTATGTGCAGATAACAACATACCATAGTGTGATCTAAAAATATCACACTATATAGCAATAATAAACTTTGTCATTATGTACAGATAACAACATACTATATATATTGTGGTATAAAAATATCACATTGTAAAAATAACACTGTTGTATGTAGGATAAAAAGGAACTTGAAATATAGGCCTATTAAGCATAAAATAACATATATAATATATAAACCTGACTGATGTGATGTCGTGTGATGCATTTACTTGTAAGGAGGCAGTACTCAAATCGGATCACTTTTTGCAAAAATACTTATAAATAAATAAATGTGTCAACAAATCAGTTATAACAACGATGTAGTTTTAGAATAGATAACCGGAGACGCCGATTGGTGACTTCAGAGCGTTTTATAAATATCTCAAGTGAGCCCAAGGTGCTAATTTCGTTTGTAAGAACACCCATCGATATTCTTCCTTTGATACAACCATAAATGAATATAATTCATCCCCAGATTTTTCAATGATTTAATAAAATGATGGTTTGGTGATCCGATTTGGGTACTGTCACCTTTGCCTAGTACCGCAGACCTTTCTGGTCAACCACTCCTCTACCCTGCGATCAGCTTAAAACGTTATTGGCGTATTGTCACTAGTACTGGAGGGATCCTCATCAGACGTCGGTGTCCGCTCAACTGTCAAATTGTCAGTAGTAGGGGCCTCATGATAAGTAGTCAGCGTCTCTTCAATGTGTGAACAAGTGTCACTTTGTTTCGTCGCATACTCACTACTTCTATGTCGGCCATGAGATGCCTGCCACGACGACGTTGTTTACATCGTTACGACAGCTTTTCCCCCCACACTTTTGCGATTAGAGATTTTCAACGCAAGGGACACAACTCTGTAATCGAAAAGTTATTCAAACAAAATCTATTCAAGGGAAGATAATGACATTGTCGAAATGGTAATCAGGGGCAGGTGACTCTAACACTGAAAAACGACAGTGGAATTATTGAATGTTTTGCTCTGCCTGGGACGGGGATCCTTAAGTTTGGTTATCATTTAACGTAAAAATGAAATAAATTATATTTTTCAGCATGATTGTTCAGCTAAGCTGTACACTAGCATTAAATAAAACAGGAAATATGGTTTTTGAAGCATATAGTTAAACAGTTATAGACTTTAGTGATGGTAAGTAGAATGTGATATGAACCTTAAAAATGGGATTGGCCTCGGCTATGCGGCTGTCAACATCACTTTTTCAGGTTCATATTGCATCATATTCACCATCACAAAAAGTCCCCGATTTGTATACAAATAATTAATTGGAATGTGCAATTATTATGTCAATATCATTGTTTAATGTCAACATGTGTGGATATTCTCAGATTTTATTTATCCTTCATGCTTTCAGAATAATGACAGACTTTTACTCGGACGATGTCAGTTTGCCTAATGCTGGTAAATTTCCAGGAGATGCACAACAAATCACATTCAAGCATCGCCAGACCCTGCCCTGTCTGCTTTTCTTTACAACCTGTATTGGCCTAATTCTCTCAACCCCTGAAGGTCGCATCGCCTACGGAAAGTTCTGCGTGTTCGGTGCCCTAGGAGGCTGGGTTTGGATGGCCTTCCGATCCTGATGTAGTGCTAGTTATGTATCGTAGGAATTACTGAGTGGTTTTGTTATGTCTTGTGCCAATTTCTAAATTTGTAGTCCCTTTTAGTCCATGGTACTAATGTGGACACATCAAAATATATTAGGCCAAAGTTCAAATTAACACACATTCATATTTCAATAATCATTATTCAACTGCCATAGGTATAAAAATATCTTACACTTGCCTTATATTAGTTTTAAGACTTAAATCCAGGTAAGAGAAATTTTGTTCATCATTCTTTAAGGAGTACAATTAATAACGGCAACAAGAAAAGTAACAAAACAAAATGACAATATTTCCAATATGTTTTTGCTTATAAAATGTCTTTCAGGGTTATAATACCAATATCTACACATTATTGTTGATCAATTTTTCTTGAAAATATGTACCATTTCTTTTAGGATTTTTAATTTTTTCAAAATATGCTAGCATACATGATGTAAAATAATGGGAACAAATCATCTACATGTGGGTATCAAAATAATTGGCATGTAATTGCCATAACATTTTCTGACATATGTAGCGGAACTTGACTGCGTCGATCGACGGTGACCTGGTAGCTCGATTAATAGAGCTTTCGTCTGAGGTTTAGAGGTTCCTGATTTCGTGTATTTTTTCCACTCCTGTTACACTTACAGTATTACCATAGGTCTTGTTCATGTAAATGAACCATTCCATCCATGCTTGTGTCAAGTACAATACAAGTACATGTGTTTGATCTTGTTACTGTTTCAGACAGGAAATTGATCTTTTAAAATGTATGAAGCAAATTATTTGTCTTATTATTTCATGGCATGTTTTTTTCATTCAATCTTTGAATTTCTATTATATGCACTGATATAATTTCAATCCATTAAGCCAATTTATTGCTATTTATCATATACAAAATGTATTTATTTGATTTATATACAATGTAATGTGTGTCATTGTTGCCACACTGCCAGTACAACATATGTTTTTCTGTATATTTACTGGTGTATACTTCTGTAATACTTTTTTAGTTTCTATACAATCACGGATGGTGCACTTGTTTAATTCTATACACTCTATATAATGTTTCTTCACTTAACAACACTGTGTGTGGTTGAATAATATTTGTACTATCTCTATCTACAAATATTTTTTTTACACTTGTTTTATTCGATGGATAATTTAGTCCTGGACTATCTCTAGATAGAGTAAATATTTATACAAACAACACTCTTTGTGGTTGTATAATATTTGTGCTCTGTTTATAATTACAATATTGTTTTTTTCTACACTTGTTTTATTCGATGGAAAGTGTAGTCGTAGACTATCTTTAAATAGAGTTAACATTTATGCAAACAATTTCTATAATAGTCTGGTTGTACACAGTTTATAGTGTAGTTCTGTTATAAATAACAGATTATGATAGGCTTACACATTATATACCATTTATACTCCAGACCTTTTCTAGATTTACATAAATATGGCCTTTTTAAATATTTGTAGTCAGCATTTATACTATTTATTCTCCTATTTCTACTCTGCTAAATCACACATGTCAGTTTTCATTTGAGGTGAACTGCTTTCAGATGACACGGTGTATTTGTGAATGTACCACTGAATGACATTTTGTCTTTGAGCTACTTTCAGTTGTCATTAAGGGTCAATATGAATGCCAGCTAGAAAATGTGTAACCTGTAAAAGGGGGTCTCATGTTAAATGAAACTTGTAAACAATACAACATGTCAACTGAAAGCAGTTAACTCCTGATGTAATTATATTTCCATTTTTGGAAGATTTTTCAATCAAAAATCTAAAACAGCCATGTGCCAAGAGGAGCGGGTGATATATTATGACATTGTACTGATGCTAATTTCAACAATTGGGCTAGGCTTTTATAGCTCATAATTTTTAAATGTAACCTTTATTTATTGTACAACAATTATGAAATAAATTATCAGACTTACATTAAACATGCGGAGGTTTTAACGTATTAGAAACCTGGACTATCCAGAGAAACCCACATGGTCAGGTGACCCAATGCATTTTTACAGCTGATCAGGAAATTAAACCCTAGGCCATCTTCGTGGAAGGCAGCTGATCAGGAAATTAAACCCTAGGCCATCTTCGTGGAAGGCAGCTGATCAGGAAATTAAACCCTAGGCCATCTTCGTGGAAAGCAGGTGCTCTATCCAGTCTGCCACCCTGTTATTCGTATTAGTAATTCCAAATGAACTAAATGTTACTGTTAGGTTGTAAAGTGTCATTGCCATGGGCCAATAGAGGTAGCCTACTTACCTGGTATTAAGAATGATAATGAAATTTCGTTTGGTTGACCAAACAAATATTACTGTTGTAAATGAGATTTGTTTGCTTTTGCTTTTTGTCTTGTTCTCTATTATATCATTTTATTGTATTTGTTTGTACAGCATTTGTGTACATTAATATATGTACCAGCTGATTGATATCAATGGGATAATTGTTTTTTAAATGAATCTAATGGTTATTATTAAGAATGTTGAAATGTGTAATAGTACTGGGTCTGAAGTTCTGTTTGTATACCCAGTAATTAAAAACTACGGAAAAGGACCCCCTTCTCACCTCCAATCTCTATGTAATCCTCGGTCAAAGTAAAATCTGAAGATATAGGTTTTTTTCGAAGGTTTATTACATTGGAAAAGATCTTCAAAGTTCACAAATACACAACATGAATACTTGATTAGGAACATGACATAACTCACACGCAATGAATGATTTCACAGAAAGTATGAATTAGATATAACATTAATATAAAAGAAGACATGTATATTTGAACTCACCTTAACTTACAAGGGAATGAACAATGATAGATGATAGTGTATGGAAGGTCTGATAATGTAGAAGGCTGGTTTTCAAATAGCATGAGGAACGATTGTGCAGGGAATGACAGGTGCTTAGCATGCGCACACGCCCATTCAGCTAAATTCTCATTTGTGTGACACAAATCTGACTTGTATATCCAAGTCTATAAAATAAATACTGTCTCTCAATTTTATAGGATTAGAGGTTTTGTATTATCGTTATTTTCACTCATACTGTGTACATTAAATTTAATGTTCACTGTGAGACCTGAGTCATAAGAGAATGAGGGCTTCTTTGTATCTATTTTGGCATCACATACTTGAACAATATCTAGACCGAAAATATAGTCGTATGGAAAGTCTGTGATACATAGACAAAGTTTAATACCATCTATGTCTAAGGACACTTTTCCGTTTCCTTTTGTTTTAACTATATTTCCTGTTGCTGTTACTCTAATATCACCATCTTCAATTTGCATGTCTTGTATGATTGTTATGCTTGGTCTTGTATTCATCAACATCAATTACATGCGTGAACCACAATTTCCCTGCATATTCGGGCATGAACGCCTCCCTGGCATAACAAAAGCCCTTATCCAATTTTACTGCCTTATTTTCCGGTATGAGTGTATTCCTGGTGACAAGGAGACCCTCAGCCTGCCTGGCCACACGGTACTGTATCTGTTACTTCAGACTCTTGATGGACTGTTTGTTGAGGTACTCCATCTCGGTGTGTCCATTTCTTCAGTAAAAGTTACAGATATGCTGTTCATATGCTGTCTTCCAATTTCCACATGAGTCTCAATTCTCTTACATCATTTCTAAGATCCTCTTCCGCTCTTGGTAGAATATATTATTTGGCTATCAACTGATTGTTACATTCCTGAAATGGATCGCATTGTTGTCAATCGATATTCGTCTCATTTACTTGCCTAATAAGTAGGTTCAGTCTTTTCAACTGTGCAATTGTTTTAGAGCTGTCAGAGGCAATAATTTTAAAACTTCACCTCCAGGTCGAAGCTCCTGTGGTAACATGGTTTCATCTGGTCAGGTTTTCATTCACCATAGCCCTTTCCATTGCAAAGCTTTCACGTATTGGAACCATGTGAACAGTCCCTTTTCTGGTCATCCATTGAACATAAGTTATGGTGAAAATCCTGTCTCTGCATTGGGCATCTCTTTATGTGAACAACGCATTCAGCAATAGTCCATCCCGTGCCTTTTCTTTTGACATGTATAACTGTTTAATACAACTTTGACAGATACATCTAACCTCTGTACTTCCCCGTAAACTGTTGGATGAAGGTGATTTTATTATGTTTTTAATCCCCATCACCCGTTGTATTTCCTTTGTTGTTTTAAGGTGAAATTTGTGCCTTGGTCCATAAGGATAACAAGAGACACTCCAACTCTACCGAAAAGTTCCACCAGCGTGTCTTACAATTTAGGTGTCAATATTCTTCTGTAGGAATGCCTCTAGATATTGTTATTGTCAATCCTTTTTGTGATAAAATAACCTAATCTCACTTTTTGTTCGGGATAATGGTCCAACCACATCCATTATGATTTTTAAGGCTCGGGTCAATTTTAACACCTAATCCTTTCACTACTCTGCTCTCAACTGATCTGCTAGTTACTTGCCATTGTTGGGGTTAGCAATGCAACTATGATGGATTCCTGAAAACGACGTCATTCTTCAAGTACATAGCATTAGTTTCATCCTGTACTACATATGTACCTCTGTTGATTCTGCAGCTTTCTCTACAAATGTTTGATAGGATTAAGTCTTTCTGTTGGAAGCTTACTAAGTACTTCAGCAGGTAGATATGTATCTGGACACCATGATATCTCGTTTTTGCTAATGTCTGGTGCAGTGCTTGAGATGAATTATTGAACTTAGGTGGTTAAACAAAGTAAACAGTAAACCCTGGTGGATCTTTGGTGGTCAAAATCCTTATTGATAACTCATTTTTTCAAACTGGGTAGCCCAAGTGCTTGCTTTGGTCACCTAAAATTATCCTTAGGGGCGGTTCATCTCTTAGTCTGCATTCTCTGGCGGTCAACTGTTTGTTGCATTTTGATTGGGTCCTGTTGTCGACACAAACTCTTCCAAGACATGTTGTTTTGCAGTATGAGATTTCCATTTAGTCCTGGTCCATTTTTTCAAAACTGGCTGCTGCCAACAAATGTGACTGAGCTTTTAGTTGGTCATGTGTTGATGACAAAAATATGACGTCATTCACTTCGTTACTTATATTTGAACTAAATATACCGGTGGTATATATATATTAATGATATATAATCCATTCATGTGTCCATAATGACAGCACAGTGTTCTCCTTCCTCAAACTTGATGGTGGGGGGGTACCTCACAAAATTGACCTTCTGATCATTTTAAAAAAAATAACAATATCGCACACTCGGACCACACATATCTAATTTACACAGCTGACCAGCTCTTACAATTGCTCTCTATCAATATAATAAGTACTGCAGGACTCCTTCTCCCCAGTCTAATATTATTATTGCTCCCACTACTCACCACAAAGATGACTACTTCACGATACAAACAGGACATCAGACCCGTTTGTTACGAGTTATAATGTAAACCTCGGCTGTGAGGACATTATCGAGATTCGAAGTGCTATCCGTTAACCTACAGCATTTTGCATTGTTAGTGTATTCAAGTAACTGACAACAATTTATTAGTGTGTCTGTGTACCACTGCAGTCATCTTGATTCCATTAATTAACACTGGTTGTTTGTTTCTTTGGGAGATATTTCAGCCGAAAGTGTATGTCAAGGTTCCCAAGTGTCTGAGTGGCTCATTAAGTACATGTAGTATTATGGTTGTATTTACTTATAAGTTTAAGTGTGACTTCATAGCATTATTGAAAATATGTTGAAGAAATTATTGCTGTATCAGACATTTTTCTTGACAAAAAAAATGGAATTTCTGTTTTCTTTTCTATTTGCAAACTTTTATGTTATTATATGAACATTCTTTTAGCGATTTGCTCATCTTTTAAAGAAAAGAAGTATAAGATCCTATACTATCTCAAGTTCATGATATATATGGAAGGGCTGCTATATGACATTATAGTGGTCATTTGTTGTCTGAATGTACGGTAAACATTCAGCTGATGTTGCTTTCGGCTGATGTTGCTTGGATGGAAGATAACATTCTCCTACCGCATAGTGGTCAATATATGATATAATAATACAGATAGCATTATATACAGCATATGAATGATAATGATTCATGCATATCCCCAGGGGACTGAAGCACAATCCCCTGTAATACATCTCTCTGTATTATGATAAAGATAAGTATCTTTCTACCGTCCCCTGTGTATTTATTCTTTCCTACCCAGATTCTCTAGTCTTTATGTTGTCTTGTCAAACGTTTGGTGGACTACTCAAGTGACAGATCATACTCGGACATATTAGTCAAAATAGACGTTTGTATATTTTATTGTTTCATTGTTTGTATGAGATTTTTTCATAAGGAGATGTCAATTCAACGATTTGAAGATGTTTAGTTTTCGTCTCGACGCCACGAAGTAGTGAAAGCGAGACTAAGGTGTTGCTTTTCCGGCGACGACATCAACATTAAGGTTTTGCGTTTAAGTTAGTTTCACTGAGAGTATAAGTGCTAGACCAACCAAACGTGGACCATACATGCATCTTAGATAGTACATCTCAACCCATGCATCAAATGCTGGATGCGGCCTTCCTTTCATGGTCCATTGACTTTGTCAGCATCTCCATCAATATTAAGTTTTTGCGTAAGTTAGTTTCTCTGATATGTGCTTTGATGGTCAAAGCGGCGCACAGGAAAGACATATCAATCTGAATGGATTGTTAACAGAAATACTTTCAATATTGTTTAGGACTCCATTTGATTGACAAGAAAAAGAGCATACACTGCTGTAATTGATCGTTTTAGTACTGATCTCTTTATTGAATGTGGTCGAATTTTTATGTACATTGTATTTTATGTAATACATTTTGTATATAGGGCTTAATTATTGAAGATCAGCATATTGCATGCATCTTTATAATAATACCAACATTGCAAGTATTAATTCTTTGTTTAGTCAAATTAGACAAAATATTTTATTGAATGGATCAAGTGATGCTTTTATTTCTTGCGGGACTTAGAATATGGCGTTCATTTTTGTATGTGGACCTAATTGTTTAATCGAATAATGAATAAGAAAACGGTTCATTGTTGTAAACTTCTACTCGACGTTACTGTGCTGCATCTGATCAAATTACGCCAAATTGCCAAGAATGTGTTGTATTGTGCTACATTGTAGTCAGACTGACTTGGGGAAATGTGTTTGCTTTGAATATATATGTATATGAAATAAAAGCTGACTTATCTATGTATTTATGTGTTGTGTAGTATTTCCCGTTCCATATTCAAAGTAACAGTCAATATTCAAAACTTGTCTCTCACCACCAAAAGTATGGCTCAGTTATATACATTGTATTATAAATATGGCAAACTCAAATAATCCAAATGTCCATAATGCAAAGCTATGAGAGGTTTTTATGAAGGGTCCTCAGTATTGAGACTCCTAGGCCTACTATCAACGGGATGTGGACTTCTACTGATGGGTTCTATTGGAGCCTACACCAGATAATGGACAAGACAAGAGCATGCAGAATTGGATTCACTTTCAGAGTAGGTCAAATCTATCGGGGCCATCATTGAAAAAAGAATGAGCTAGTTGAACATTCAAAATATAAACAAGAAATAGCTTTATTCCTTGATTAAACAACACTCAACGGTCTGCATGATATGTATGTACAGTGAAATTGTATCTACAGTATCTAATAACATAGGTTTGCTTGATAACAAAGAAAACTACCTATACATCTTCCAATTTTCTCAAGGCGAAATATCAGCTCATCACGCTCCTGTATTGTGATCTTTCCAATACCCATTTATTGGATTCGGACCTCCCTCGTTTGTATTTGATTCCGAACTTTACAAGAATGATTTATCGCTGGCTCTTCTAGTGGCTCATTCGAGCTATTGTTTAAGTTTCTAAAGAACATTCTTACAATGTATTACTATTGCAGTCGTATTGTGACAGTTTATGTGGGTTGGGAAGAATTCAAAAGATCTTTTGATCCAACTTTAATATTTAATATTCTCTCCTCAGAAAGATTTCTTTCATCAAAACTTTTCACTTTTCGACCCTTAACATTACCATTCCTCATTCTAAACTGAAAAAAACACTTCATTCTCTTTTAAGGAGAGTTTTTCCATTACAAGAAAGGTGAAATCAATATATGGTTGTAAGTTAATTGGAACACAATTTGTTCACAAATTGAAATATAATGAGGATGAAATTGTGAGAATGACCGAGTTTCTGGTCGAGTTTGGATCGGTGGCAAGATTTTCCAGCAGACCGTGGGCATTCTAAAGGAAACAAAGTTTGCCCCTCTGCTGGCTAACTTGTTTTTGGTTTCATTTGAGACTGCATTTATTAATGAGTTTATCAGGACAGGTAACAAAAAACTAGCTAAGTCCTTCACATTTAGATGCATCGACGATGTGCTGTCTTTTAATAATGAGAAAATAGATGTTTTGACCATGTCGATTGTATACACTCTCCTTAGCTTGAAATCAAGGACACAACAGACATGTCTCCTTTGATATTTGCCAACATCATCACAAACAAGTATGGCTAATTTCTACTCCGCTGTACGATAAGCGGGGTGATTTTGCTATCATGAACTTGCCCTTTCTCGATAATAACCATGTCACAGTGAATTGGTATTTTGTTGACACTTGGGTATTTTCGTATTTTATTACGATTATAGGCCCGCCATCTTTTGAACTATCATCAGCTGTTTAAACCGGCCTTCTTCATGGCCTGTAGCCAATCTTTAAACAATTCTTGTAATCACTGTTTATTACAAATCTTTCTTAAACTTCAAATGTATGCTTCCCTTGGCTTTTGATTCTGCATGTTCAAATTAAGGACAAAAGGCATACACAAGATGGCTCTCTTAGATATTGACATATCTTTATCGCTATTTCTCAGAGAAATTAAGAGACTTTTCGTTTCACAAGTAGGTGGTCTCTGTTGCTCCTTAGTTCTACATGTTCAATGTTGGTACTGATCACAACAAGATGGCATTCATTCATATTGACAAATTGTGATCACTATTTCTCAGTTACTGCAGGATTTTCACCAGTATAGGTTTCCGTTGGTCCTCTGTTGATCTCAAGTGAGAAATTAATGTGGGGCAGCCATATTGAATTTTTAAAAGGTTTTTACAATCAGAATTTTTAATCGATATATCTATGGTCCATTTCATTTTTAGCTGGATAAGAAAAGGAAGGCAGTAAGAAATCAATTCTGAGGGCATTAGAAGACAACCATGTGAATATATATTTATTATATCGAAAACACCGCCAATGCGAAATATTTTCACACCACGATCAATTCAAAGATTCACAACCTGAACATTTTCAAACAGAAAAAAATCTTAAAATTTGCATAACAGATACAAATACAGGTTTTGTTTTAGTAACACCTAGGAATAGGACAAAAAAGGAAGAAGTAACAAAATGTGAGAATGTCATTTTTTTTACTTAATTTTGTTCTCATATAGTAACACATGATAAATAAATGTAGATTAAAATTACAACAAACCAGGACCATGTCCATCAAGTTAAAAATTCAACTATTTATACTATTGGGTACATTTCATGTACCTAGACTACAGCATATATCTGTCACCTCATGTTCTACCACAATTAAGCACTAAATTCCACAATACAAGCCCAAGTGTCCTCTGGACCATACACTGTTGACTGTAATTCAGAACCATACAAAACAAATTTATTTACACTATCTAAAATGAAATAGAAAATGTCTCATAGCATTGAACTGTCTTTAAAAATCAATAATTCCGTTTGGGAAGAAAAAGCATCATTTAAGGTTAAACAGAATAAAGTGTACATTTAGAATACTCTGTTACTGTTCCATAGTTATTGTAAAGGTAGTTCACACACTGGTCATTACTTGCAGTGTTGACGGTAGAATATTCCGTTTGATTTTATAGGAATTAGCGTTCTATTGACATTTTAGTTTACATTTCAAATACTGTATGGTTCAACTTCAGATTATGCAAATGTATTGAGTACTATTCAAGGTTGATTTAAGCGAGTTTGTAAGAAAGTATCAAGATATGTAAAAAGGAAAACAATGATACATTACTTCTCTATTGTTCCACTTGACAAAGCCATAAGATATATGATCATGACCATACCGCAAGGTTATTACTCGTATGAACAGCCTGGTTCAGTAAGAAGGAAATAACTGACTAACTCCTCTTTAATTTTTTCAATTAGAATTTTAAAGAGGAAATAGACAATTATTTCAGACTAAATCAAGCAATGCATATGAATTGATCAGAATCAGTCTAACCATTTCATGTTAAGATTACCTGGTACAGTTTCCTTTATATCAGTTTATTGCCATGGCATTCTACGAAAATGCTGAAATTATTTAATTACATGTTTATAAACCTGAAGCAATGACAAACAATATTGTATTTTTCTTCAACCATCACACTTAAAGGTATATTAACACCTGTACAATTAGTCCTAGTGTTCAGTTTTGTTCACAGGCGGATACCTGAAGTAAAAATAATCTGTAGCTTACATTTTTTTACAATTCAGTGACTGGGAATGAAAGCCACATATACACACAAATGAGATAGTTCCACTTTTGTTCTACAATCCATGGATTTATGGCTATAAAATATGAAATTCTTGAATTTAACTTACAATTTTAAACCACTAAGTCAGATAAATATGTCTTTATCTTTGCCTTTGATGCTGTATTTTACATTTGTCCATAAAAAATACCATGTTCAAAGTTATCATCTTAAATAAAACCAGCAGTTCTTTCATGTATTTACAAGGTAAGCCATTCTAATTAATACAGGATATTATACTGCAGTATGTCAGTGATTTTCCCTCCTATTCCTTGGCTGCTACAGTAGCTTCCTGCACTCTGTCTCCACCTCTGTTCCCAGCCCTGATCTTCACTAACAGATTATGCATGAATGGCAATAAATAATTTCATGAAGTGAATTACCAAGTTTAACCTAAACTTGCAATACATTGTAACATATCTAGCACCTGATAAAAGCTTGAACAATTTTTTGTGATAATTTTTAATCTGATTGATTTGATTATTATTCTGTCTTTTATACAAGAAGATTTTCTCAAGTTTCACTTATCAGTGATCATGAATATTGCTTTTGTGGTGAATAAAGATTTTGCAGTTGTGATGCAAGGTTATATTATTTCTGAATGTATTCACTATTGTATCAAGATTTGAAAATATCTATCGATAAATTTCATCTAATGAAGCATATTACTCAAATTGATGATACATGTACATTGATCCATTAAAAATGACAGCCCTACAAACAAATGCATTTCTGGTACAAGGTTCTTTAAGCAAAGTTACCTGAACAAATAAGGCAAATAGAACATGCACTGTTTCAAATCCAGCAATTTCAGAAAAGAAGATTCTTTTAAATAGGATGAATAAATGCATAAAAATCAAACAAAATCTTGTATATTCAACACTGTTATACTCAGTACTGCATCAAATAATATCCATTTTTTTTACTTGAACCAGTTGTTCACTTTTTTCTGTTTTCCATTTACAGTACTTCCTCCATTTCTGGTACAGTGTATCAAGATTCTTACTATCAATGTTGCAGAAATAATTGTTTTATACTCAAAAAAACATAATTGTAATTTCGGTGCTTTAAAAAATCTCATCATTGGAGGATGACCGACTTAGCTTCTTGACAGAGAGGTGGTACAGACTAGTACAACATATACCACAAGTCAAACTTAAGGAAATATGCTATTTTATAATGACATTTTGTGTATGCATTGCCTATCCTAAAAAATTACACACAAAAATATTGAAACCGTAAAATGTTATCATTATACCTTTTTTCTTTTAAATTTAGGGTTTAGAGCCCTCTCACAAGCCAGGGTCATATGAATATGAGTGACTATGGATCGGAGCCAATGCTGAATTTAAATTTAAGGGAGATAACCTAGTCTCAAATATTGAAATCACAGGAATAATTTATAGCATACATCCTTAAGTAATGCAACATGTGTTGAGTTATAAAAATACAATATGTTTTAATAAGTTTATATTAACAGTGAGATATGTACAGCAACAGATTTTTATATACATAATATAACAAAAATGAGATCTTTTATCATGACAGTTTGCAGGAGCACTATATAGGTATATATTTCCCAACAGCCTGCTGGTACATGTGCAAAATGTCCTGGGGTAGAATGATCAGCCGGTATAAACGTAAATCACAGACATATTTTCAATCCTTCTGCCAATACAAAGTACGGTACTAGTAATTAACCATATATATATATGTAAATTTTGTCATGGTGAAAAATATGAGGGGGCTCAAATTTTCAAATGTACTATATAGCACAATTACTGAAAGGGAGCATGTATTGACTTACAATCCAGCAGCAATGATTTCTAATGTAGGTATCTCAAAGCTACATTTTGTAAAAGCACTGTTGTACATATTTCTATTACAATGATGGTTCAACATAGCACAGAACTTGGTAGCAAATGACATTTCTCCTCACGAAACCCAACACACTGGAACATTCCATGTTATTACACACTGGATATCATTACTGTTAAGGACCATTCATTCAAGTTGTTAGACCAATGCAAAAATCATCGGGATGAACAGAGTATTCTAAATACAAAAACAATATCCTATATTGGTGAAAATTAACCATCATTAATGGAAGTAAACATCAGAATTAGTACCAAAATGGATGACTGGACTAGCTTTTCTCTGATGCAGTGGTAGTCCAGAGCCAAAAGCTTAAAACTTTCTTCTATTTTTCTTGATAAGAGAGCACTTATTTTAGAAGTTTTTTGAATGTTTGATTTATTATTTTAATAAATTTTCCAGTTACTTGAATGAGATTAACTTTAGCCCAAGGATAAAAGTGCTGTCAATCAGTAATGCTTTTGCTATGCGTAGTTCTTACTTCCAACCCGAAGCATAGTTTGTGTCAAAACTAAACCTATGTCTTGTGGTGACTGATCATGATTTCGTATATTGAACAATAAACCCTTTAGTCATTATCACTAGAATCTGATGATGAATACAAGCTTTCTCCAAGTTCATACTCTATTGGACCAGATATGGATGGAAACCTTTGTCCACTCACTGGGTGCTGACCTAAATGTATCATGCTCACCGACTGACCACTAGATGACATCATCTGTGATCTCTGATGTGACTGGTCAGGGCCAGTATCTGTCTGCTGTACGAAAGTCTGTGGCTGATCCAGTTCGTCCAATGAGAGATGTTCAAAGTGTCGAGATAGGTCTTGCTGTGAGCCTGATGTGCTATCAGGAGGACTGTCAGCCGGGGTTTGTGGTGTCTGGGGGGTATTGTTGGGTGCTGGAGGAGACAATATTGCATCATCTTGCCCAATATCAGTTGGAGTGCCAACATTTAGGATGCCTGAGCTGGCCCTTGGCTGCTCTACACCCTCAGCTCCAGGTCTTTCTGTCGAACTCTGGTTAGAATATTTAAGTCCCGCGACACCCTTGACACCCTCCATGGTAGTCTCATCACGTTTTATGTTTCTTTTTCTTGTGCGATCATTTCGACGGAATTGAACCATATTTTCAAGGTCAATTACATATAAAAATCCTGCAATCAACAACTCAAAGAGTTTATCACCATTCTTGTGTTTAATTTCCAATTCCTGACTAGTTCGGTCATCATATTGCCACCAACCGTTCCTTCCCTCATAAAACCACTGATATTTGTCGTCAAATGCTATAGTCTTTTCTAAGTCTTGTTGTCTTATCAGCTTAGGTTTCTGAAAGAACTCAGGTATAATTTCCTGTCTGCACAAGGCACACCGCTTGCTTCGATGGGCTGCTCCTTTCACACACAGAAAACAGAATATGTGTTGACAAGGAAGCTGGACTGGGTGGATACAGGGCTGGAGACACACAGAACACTCAATGATGATATCTGTAACAAAAAAACCAAATTAAACATTAGGCAGGTAACATATTGCAATAGCAGCCCTACAAGTCAGTTCACAATCAAGAACTGATGTTTTCTCTAATCTTAGTCAGGCTAGCCACTTTCTTTTTCAGTATTTAACCCTCTGCACTAACATTCAATATTCAGATTGGAAATCACTGTGTATGAAAGCTTTCGTTCATACACAAACAATATCATGTACACATCAAATGTGTCACAATTATTTTAAGATCAACTGGTCCCTTTGTCAACCTGGCTTGATAAAGAAATTATTTATGGGACAAGGTGGAAAGGGTGGGGAATATTGGCTGTTATACACCAGGCTGTAGGTGTTTAATTAGTTGTCATCTCAAAGACAGCACTATTTACAACCAATGTAGGGGTGTAAAAATCCTCTCTTGTAAATGTCTAGATCTGCATAAACAACCAGTTTCCAGGCCCAGGCAAGTGAGAAAATGATAACATCCCACTTCCTCAAGGAAAAACATTTAGCAAATATTAGAAATTATATATGATTATGATAATGTTGGTCTTTTCAAATTGCGATCCCAAACAAGTGATTTTCTTGGCTACAGTTAAAAATAAAATGTATGTGATAAAATGTTTTTCTTAAAAAGTGGTGGTGTCCCGTGCAATTTCTTTGATCAATACAAAATTTGGATATATACTCATCCAGGGCAAGTCGATTTCTGAAGCCTAGTTGCCCAGCAAGTACTTGGAACACATTGTTTACACCAGAGTCTAAATTTCAGTATATATATCTTCTAAGCACACTTATAGTATAATCACAGTTTCTTGCCATTTAGATGAAGGTGGTTTTACTTTTTATTTATACATGTGGAAACAATATTATACAGTCCATGCATTGACTTTTTAGCATGGATTTGGGCTCTTATAAATAGGGCCTTATATCCGTCTGCTGGATAACCAAACTACTCGGTAATGAAGCGGACTTAGAACCTATCAATCAATTATACGGCCCCAATAAAAGGCCCCTTCCCCAGGATAATTTCTGTTGTAATTTTCCAAAATCATGCATTTTGTTTGTGGTTTTTCCCACAGGCCCCTACAAAAAAGGAGGTAGAAATTGCACTGCAGCCAATTAAAAGCAACGGCACAACTCCTGCAGCAGCTCCCCCTACAAGTAGCTATTATGTCATTGCTATTGGAAATTTTCAGTATTTACTACAAGTACAGTAACTGATGTATCAGCATCTGTTTTGATTGACCAGTACTATACTTTTTACTGACGGACTCCTGTATTTATTCTTCTTTTTACAGCCAAACTTGTATAAATATTCCTTGTTAAATGATGAATCTATCTGCTTGGCAACCCAGAGCTTCACTCTTTGTAGAGATCTCCCACTTCCCTTATTATCTACATGCAAATGTATTAAAAGTAAAGCTTAAGCAGAATTTCACAAAATCTGGCAGCATATTTGTAGATATTGGAAATATGAAAGTACACACTCCTGAAAAGGCTTGAAAGTTTACCTTGTAGCAGATCATACCCCACCTCCACCTTACTTCAACAGTCTAAAAAACACATTGAATGAAACTAGCATGTTTGGTTGATAGCCATGGAAAGTCGGAATGGACATTGGTATAGGTGAAATATGAATATTTCAATTTCACAGCTGGAGTTTTTACTTGCCACTAACCCCATCAGTTGCAATAAGGAAGTATATCAGATGGCTGAAAAAAGATACTGCAGCTGGACTATCAGAGTTTCCATTTATATATATATATATGTATACAAAAAGCACTTTTGTAAACATGACACCTGTCATATCATAAGTAAACTATTTAATTTTCTTTCCTGCAACCACCTTACTGTGAATTCTAGACATTTCTGTATCGGAAAGTTTTGGTCTCTAAAAATAGGATGATTGAATACTTTTTTGAAAAAGATTAAAAACACTGAAGAATCATATATTTTTTTTATTAAACTAGCACCACCTAGAACACAAAATGCAAACAAAGGGCTTGGTTGAAACATTAGTAGCAACTGCCTAAGTACTTAAAATCTATTATGTACCGAAACATTTGTATTTCTTTGGTCATTGGTTCCAATATAACATATATAAATGTAGCCAATCTGCATGACTGGGTCAATTTTTCATGACCAGGTTGCTGAATTGGTAGGGCGTTGGTCTCGAGTTTAGAGGGTCCTGGGTTCAAATCCTGGTCTGTTCGTTGCTTTGGTCTTTTTCCTGCTACAGAATTGGTGAGCTTGCCAGACCTTGTTTCAAGCACTGGGTGAATGCTTGGTAATGGGCCGGGGCACCCAGATATCTGGGTTGTAAATAGTTGTGGTGTATTGGGGGGCATAGTCTTAGAAAAATAGGAATGAGGAAGGTACATGCAGCAGAACTAGACTGGGTCAAGTTGTCAACTGGGTCCTAGGTTCTAATCCCGATCTGGCTGTAACCTGTTGCATTCTCTTCTTCCTGTTACATAAGCTGACGCATGAGCTAGACCTGGATTCAGACAAGACACATCCGAATTATAGATGGAAAGTAAAGGGAGTACATTGCCAACTGTACTACATGTTCAACGACATAACTTTTTGTAAGCATATCAATAGGTATAGGCCTGTTGCTGATCTGTAACAGGTTGGGCACAACAGCGCATATGGGTAATAATCCTGCATTTGGGTAACGGTTACCCATTTGAGAAACAATTTTATTACTGAAATGGGGAATAAAGTGAAATAAAAACACACAAAGTTCTTTTAAACACTTGGAGCAAAAAAGGGCGTCATTCTGTCAACTAAATCCAATAAATAACACAATGAAGTACATTTGTGCACAAAAATTATCAATTCTGATGTCTAACTTTTTGTGAAAAGGACAAACCATATCACTGACTTTGCAATGGTCTCCATTCTTCTTTCTTCTTTATACGAGGGCTCCATCAGTTTGATGATTATGGCATCGGGGGTCCTATTGTAGAGGCGTGAAGGGGTTATTTATAGTGATTAGGGGTGGGGTTGGTTTTTTTGTGATTTTTTTTTTGTGCAAGGTATAGATAAAAAGTTAAAATCTGTTGTATGTACTAGTGTGTGATGAGGGCTTCAAGGGCTGTGTAGGGTAAGTGTGCCTTGAAGTCCTCTAGTGTTGTGCATTGGACTGCTGCTAAGGGGAGGAGATTCCATTGTGTTACTGTGTGTGGGAAGAATGAGTATTTGTAGGTGTCCTTTGTAGCAGATATGTGTTTGTATGCGTACGGGTGTACCTGTCTGGTGCGGGGGTCTACAGGTGTGAGTATATGTGTTGGGTTTAAAGCTACGATTCTGTGTATAATTTTGTAAAAAAGGATAATTCTAGTGTATAAGCGTCGTGTTTGTAGTGTTGGCCATTGAAGTGTGTGGATCATGTCTGTTACGGAACTAGTGTTGTGGTATCTGTTTTGTACGTAGCGTGCTGCTCTTCGTTGTGTTTTTTCTATTTGTTTAATTTGGTTTGTGTTGTGTGGATCCCAAATGGAAGAGCAGTATTCAAGTTTAGGCCTAACTAGTGCTTTGTATGCATGTTCTTTTATATGTGGTGAGTTTATTTTCAGGTTGCGTTTGAGAAAACCTAGGGACCTATTGGCATTGGCTGTGATATTGTTTATGTGTTTGTCCCATCGTAGGTTGTTTTGTAGTGTTAGTCCTAAGTATTTGCTTGTTTCTACTTTGTGTAATGTGTGGTTGTGGAGTTTGTAATCATGGTGTATTTTGTTGCGTTTCGGTGTAATGTTAAGTATGTTACATTTTACATTGACTTCAGTGTCAATGGGACTATCCAGTGCAAATGTGACAGGTGAGCTTGATTTTTTTTTATGTTTGCTATTTGTAGCTACTCTACAACACACTATAAATGGAGGTGATAAAATTTGTCATTTTACAAAAATTCAGTTGTCTCAATTTTTGTGTGTTTTATTTCACTTTATTACCCATTTCAGTAATAAAATTATTACTGAAATGTGTAACTGTTACCCGAATGCAAGATTATTTCCCTGTGTAATTGAAAATGTCTTGTACAGGCCATGCATCGTGTTCGCTTTCTAAACAAATCTGTACAATATCGATAGACTATGGAGGCAATGCCATTACGATATACCAACAATAATAAGAAATCTCCAAATTTTATATAAAATGTTCTACGTTATAGGCCTACCATGTCCATTTTCTTTTTGGTCTTTGTCAAGTAATTTCGAGTGGACAGCTTGTTTTTCGACAGTGTCTTTCTCATTCGACATTTTCGTAGCAGTCTGTTGTCCCTCTTGATCGCCATTGGGGGTGGAACTTCTACTCGTCCGATTCCTGATGTCAAGTACTGGCTCATTCCTATCCATCACGAACATGGAATTGTCGTATTATGCCATTTCCAAGATATTTTTCAGTTCGCTTCTTCCGTCACTTCTGAAAGAAGTTCGTGGCAGCCCCGACCTTCACCTTCGACTGTGAGGCAATTAGTTTCGCATCAAGTGATGTCAATGATGGAATATATCTTTTATGATGCAAGTCATGTCATGAAATGGAATTAAAATGATGATTTGTCTTGAAAAAGTGAAGGTATTTTATCAAACTAACCATGAAAATTGAGAATAGATCCGAAACTAAACTAAAAATTGTAATTACTGATCCTGTAACTGGTATTGATGTTCCGGATTGTCATAAAATCGAGGTTCGACCTGCAACACAAAACACTTATTAAAAGTTGCGTTTGTTGTATATCGCCCATTCTCACTTATCATGCGCCATTAACAAAAATCATGTCGCATGATCCTTCCATTCCAAAATATATACCCTAAACGTCAAAACTATCGTTCACTGTTTCAACATTTGAAACAAACAAACAAAATAATGAAAAACGTTCATGAACATGTCAATATACTCAAATAATCGTTGTCGCGTCACCTTTTCTGATACAAAAAGGCTTTGCATTTTTTTCAGTTAATTTTAAATTCATGTTTTTCTTCATACTTTAAGTTTACTTATGTCTAAACAAAACTTAATTAATTCAATATCAATAATTTAAGCTAAAATATGATTTGTTGGCGATTACCTATACTGTCGCAAAATGTCTCGCCAGATACGTTACTAAACAAAATACCCATAATACAAGCATTTATTATCGGCGAACAAAAGTCTTAAATATCTTGGTATATTGACTAAAGGTATCTTACATCGCATAAAAAACTAATTGACATTAATTCCGTTAGCGTATATCAAGTATCCTGCATGAAACTTGATATTCGTGGTTTGTCCGTTAAAATTTCAACAAATACGTGACCTGTATTTATCTAATGAAACTGTACTCATTGTCGTGGGAACTTTTTTGTAGCTTACACGATACTAGCCAAAGCGTATTGTAAGTTTAGAACATGTAATACTAAGTTACCAATTGAAAGTGATAGGTGGTTCAATATACCACGTGAAAATAGATTATGTAATTTGTGTTATTTAAGAGAAATTGGCAACGAATTTCATTACCTGTTTACATGTACACATCAACCAATTCTCAATAGTAGGCGAAAAACATAACATGAATTGACATCATTGGCTAAATTTATTATCGATATTAATGACATAATTAATTTACAATACTAATGTCCATCCTGTTCCACCATGTCTTAGTGTCACCCATTTGTATATATATGTATTCTCTACCCTGTATTGTTTATGAGAATAAAACAATTGTCATTGTCATTGATAAAACTGAAGTGTAACATTGTTGTACAACTAGATGTGTAAATTTAAAGCGAATACCGAATGAATTTAATTTTGCTGACGTTAACATTTTTGTCGACCAGATACGTTGTTAATGGTTCTATAGCCGTAGCTTCTAACAATGATACTCTAGATTCTAGGTTTGTTTTGTGGGATTTTGATGGGAATAATGCCATAAGACCTTTTACAAACTGTACTTGCATCGATGAGCTGGCTAATTCTCAAGGGGAATATCTTCAAATCTTAGGGAATCCAAAGGCATGCATGCATATTATTATGGTTAATTTGTGTACGTTATTGTAACCGTTAGATGTTCAAATAAATGTAACTACCATAAATGGATTTTAAAGGATTAATAAGTGAAAAGATATGAAAGAAAAGGGTGGGATATGTGAGGATAAGGGATCACATCACTTGGACAATATGTAACGTATATAATTATGGTCACTTTGGTGACATTTCTGTTTTGGTGCATTATTTTCCCAGAAGAAATTAATCGACTTGGTTATGTGAACATTTGAGATAGGTGCACGTAGTTGATCACACGTGATCATTACATCGATTTAAAGTTTGTTTTAGTGATAATGCTAAGTAGCATGAGTGTAACACTTGCCCAATATAATGTGTAACGTATCTGTTGGAATGAAAACGTATCTGTTAAAGTTTTGAACGGGAGTAACGATAGAAAAAAGTGAAAACGCTAGCGTACAAACTTTTTTTGCAGTATAAGTTAAAAGCCGCCTTGATGTTCAATTACCTCTGGATTTTTTGTGAAGTTGTTTTCAATATAAAAGTTTGTTATAACGTTACTTGTTCAAATTGTGTGAACAGATACGTTACATGAACAAATCATATTATTGTTTTAATGCAACCTGCCATAATCATTTTTCTTCTTCTCAAATATAGATCAAACAAATAGTAGTTAATCAAAATAAGTACAACTAACATACCATTTCGATTGAAGATAATGTAGAATTTAATTTGTATCTCCGACTGGCAAGGTAACATATACGTTACTACGGGCGAGGTAGTATATGTGTTGTGTTGTTGAAGAACGAATGTTTTGTACTGTAGAATGCATTAGTCGATGAAAAAAATACTTTTCTAAAACTAAACCCATAAAAAGTGTTCAAAAGCTTGAAGAAGTTCAAAGAATGAAATAAATCTTGTTTTGAATACATTGGTTTTGAATGATTTCCGTTTTAGACCATGCAAATGCCTATTTCCATATACGATCAGAAAACGTGTTAGCATTTGTTGCAAAAATATCTGTTTTTATGACACAGTATATCTTGAATTCGCAAATATGGTAAATTTGAAGAAGAAAAACATTTTGTTTTAAATAAGTACTGGATCACGTATAAGTTTTACTGACAATGACTTTTGGGAATGGAAACTTCTGTTTTCAAAACTGGTGAATAGTGAACAGAACCCATTCGGTTTATTATCCTACACATGTTACTCTTTTGAGAAAAGATATCAAAATGTTCGCAATACAAAGTTCATTTCCCACTTATACTGTACATGTAATGGCGCATGATAAGTGAGAATGAACGCTATATCCACCAATGATCTACTTATCGGTTGTTTATTTTTTTGTCAGGAAGAAACACGTAGAATTGGATTTTTCAATTATTTTCACATCTGGATTGTGAACTTCATTTTCGGAAAGCAAAATTTACAATTTGCACCGCCATTTAACTGTAAAGAATGTACATGAATTTGTAACAAACATAAAGAATTTAACTGTATATTTTTTTAGAATTGTTAAATTGATTGAGATTTGAAAAACTGTAACCGGATCGATAGAAAGTTAACATATGAAAATGTATAACAACAACAAACATACACAATAATACTTCCCGTGACACAACTGTTCAGTATCAATTACACATAAATTCACTTTTCTAAATACACACAATACATTCTTAACATAAATACAAACCCTAGTTACACACGATACTCCACTCACACCCTATAGGTACTCATAATGTAAGCATTATATATACCTATATTGATATAAACCTTTATAGACCGTATGTATTATCAATCTAACTATAGTACATTGATAGGTAGAACTGGATATACAATAGGATGTTACGTGGGTGTAATTAAACAAGGCTGTAAGATGTACAAAGAGTCTGCGTAGGTCAACATTGGTATTAAGATATCATGTGTAGCTAGCTAAGAGTAATACAGACATAATGTAACTTGCTAACAGTAATACAGACATAATGTAGCTAGCTAACAGTAATACAGACATAATGTAACTTGCTAACAGTAATACAGACATAATGTAACTAGCTAACAGTTATACAGACATAATGTAACTTGCTAACAGTTATACAGACATAATGTAACTTGCTAACAGTAATACAGACATAATGTAACTAGCTAACAGTAATACAGACATAATGTAACTTGCTAACGGTAATACAGACATAATGTAGCTAGCTAACAGTAATACAGACATAATATAACTTGCTAACAGTAATACAGACATAATGTAACTTGTTAACAGTAATACAGACATAATGTAACTTGCTAAGAGTAATATAGACATAATGTAACTAGCTAACAGTAATACAGACATAATGTAACTAGCTACAGTTATACAGACATAATGTAACTTGCTAACAGTAGTACAGACATAATGTAACTTGCTAACAGTAATACAGACGTAATGTAACTAGCTAACAGTTATACAGACATAATGTAACTTGCTAACAGTTATACAAACATAATGTAACTTGCTAACAGTAATACAGACATTATGTAACTTGCTAACAGTAATACAGAAATAATGTAACTTGCTAACAGTAATACAGACATATTGTAACTTGCTAACAGTAATACAGACATAATGTAGCTAGCTAAGAGTAATACAGACATAATGTAACTTGCTAACAGTTATACAGACGTAATGTAACTTGCTAACAGTAATACAGACATAATATAACTTGCTAACAGTAATACAGACATAATGTAACTTGCTAAGAGTAATAAAGACATAATGTAACTTGCTAACAGTTATACAGACGTAATGTAACTTGCTAACAGTAATACAGACATAATATAACTTGCTAACAGTAATACAGACATAATGTAACTTGATAACATTAATACAGACATAATGTAACTTGCTAACAGTAATAACTACATCAGACTTTTAAGGATGTACGTAGATACATTATCTATTATGAATTGATTATCATCAATGGAGAGTAAATGACTACCTTTAGTCAACATATTACCTGAAATGTAGCCAAATAAAAATAGATAGTGACGTACATCTGCAGATGATTATAGAGAGGAAAAGAAAACAAGTAATAAAATATATCCTTAGGTTGATTTCAACAAGTAAATCGTGAGTTATCCATAAGGTGATCACAATACTTACCCCATTTCTTAGGTGACATAAAATAACATTAAATTTACGAGGCTGGCACTATTTAAACATATTACTTATTACACATTAATTATACAAGACTGTATCTGTAAGAACGTACATATTTTACTGGTTGAACGTATTCTCGAGATAGACAGGCGGTATAAAAGGAGCGTTAAAAAACGCCCCCCCCCCCCCCCCNAGGGCCGATCTATGGGGCATCAGAGGGGCATCAGGGCCGATCTATGGGGCATCAGAGGGGCATCAGGGCCGATCTATAGGGCATCAGAGGGGCATCAGGGCCGATCTATGGGGCATCGGAGGGGCTTCAGGGCCGATCTATGGGGCATCAGAGGGGCTTTAGGGCCGATCTATGGGGCATCAGAGGGGCATCAGGGCCGATCTATGGGGCATCGGAGGGGCTTCAGGGCCGATCTAGGGGGCATCAGAGGGGCTTCAAGGCCGATCTAGGGGGCATCAGAGGGGCTTCAAGGCCGATCTATGGGGCATCAGAGGGGCTTTAGGGCCTATCTATGGGGCATCAGAGGGGCTTCAAGGCCGATCTAGGGGGCATCAGAGGGGCTTCAAGGCCGAGCTATGGGGCATCAGAGGGGCTTTAGGGCCTATCTATGGGGCATCAGTGGGGCTTCAAGGCCGATCTATGGGGCATCAGAGGGGCACCAGGGCCGATCTATGGGGCATCGGAGGGGCTTCAGGGCCGAGCTATGGGGCATCAGAGGGGCTTTAGGGCCTATCTATGGGGCATCAGTGGGGCTTCAAGGCCGATCTATGGGGCATCAGAGGGGCTTCAAGGCCGATCTAGGGGGCATCAGAGGGGCTTCAAGGCCGATCTATGGGGCATCAGAGGGGCATCGGGGCCGATCTATGGGGCATCGGAGGGGCTTCAGGGCCGCTCTATGGGGCATCAGAGGGGCTTTAGGGCCGATCTAGGGGGCATCAGAGGGGCTTCAAGGCCGATCTAGGGGGCATCAGAGGGGCTTCAAGGCCGATCTATGGGGCATCAGAGGGGCTTAAGGGCCGATCTATGGGGCATCAGAGGGGCACCAGGGCCGATCTATGGGGCATCGGAGGGGCTTCAGGGCCGATCTATGGGGCATCCGAGGGGCTTTAGGGCCGATCTATGGGGCATCGGAGGGGCTTCAGGGCCGAGCTATGGGGCATCAGAGGGGCTTTAGGGCCTATCTATGGGGCATCAGAGGGGCTTCAAGGCCGATCTATGGGGCATCAGAGGGGCTTTAGGGCCTATCTATGGGGCATCAGAGGGGCTTCAAGGCCGATCTAGGGGGCATCAGAGGGGCTTTAGGGCCGATCTAGGGGGCATCAGAGGGGCTTCAAGGCCGATCTATGGGGCATCAGAGGGGCACCAGGGCCGATCTATGGGGCATCGGAGGGGCTTCAGGGCCGATCTATGGGGCATCCGAGGGGCTTTAGGGCCGATCTATGGGGCATCAGAGGGGCTTCAGGGCCGATCTATAGGGCATCAGAGGGGCATCGGGGCCGATCTATGGGGCATCGGAGGGGCGTCAGGGCCCCTAGTCCGAAATAACTGCATGACTTTCCCCTATGATTTTGTTTGTTTATTTTTTAATTGCAGTGTCGCGACACTAACTAAAGTTCGCATCAATCCGATGCGCAATGTCAATAGAATTTAAAAGGATATAGTCAATTACTGCCAATTTCCATAAAAAAAAACCACATTATTGCACATTTTCATTGCCCCCCCCCCCCCCCCCCCCCCCCCCAACAGGTTGGGCGCATATGTGGGTATACGTAATAATCCTGCATTTGAATATTAGTCGTTTCATAAAATTTATTCTATGACCTGTATCACGACCTACCCGTGCTTGGGATCATTATAATGTTAACAGATTGCTAGTGCTTGAGGGGATACCAACATTTACCCGATTGACAGTGTGTTGTTACCTGATGAAACAAATAAGAGTAACAATATTATTACTGAAATGGGGAATAAAGAGAAACACATGAAGTCCTTTTAAACATTTAGCCCGAGTTCCTCTGGCCTTGACACCAGATCAGACATTTTGACAGGTAGATTTCTAGTAATAACCCAGTATACCTTTCATATATCGATAAATGATATATATAGCAAACCACTTTTTACAGCCTGTCCAAACTTCGATGTCACTGTAAAACTAACAGATGGCGCTGATAAATGAAAGCCAGGAGGAAATGGCACTTGGGGAACTAGCCAGATATTTCTCATTAAATATATTATTACAATACAGTTTTAGTATTGTCGATAGTGATCCAACTACAAATACTCACAACAAATGGTGCTTGGGAAGAGAGAAATGAAATCAGTTATAAAATTATCGATCGCTTGAATGCAAAACAGAGCTAGCTCTATAACTGTATATTTACAATGAAAAATTATTGGATTTAAAAATGGTCTAGGTTAGTAGAATTTCTCAAAATATGCAAGACTACTTCTAATATAAATTTGTACTAGTCTACCCTTGTTAAAGAGGTACATAAATAATTGACGAGCAATAAATAAGATAGTAAGTTTGTGTGTGTACATGTATGTAGATAATAAACGCTTACATCACCATTGTTTTCTTTATTGTATTGCAGCTGTACGATGAAAAAGAAATGCTTAAAGGAAAGTTGGATTTACTCAGTAACACCAACATGGTAGATTTTGCAATGGATGTCCACAAAAATCTCTATCCTGATCAGGACGTGCCATCAAGTAAGTTCCTTTCAACATTATGGACTGGCCATTCCTTTGAATCTGAACACAGTCAATTATATACTGTAATAAGCCCATACATATTTATTACAGTTCAGTAAAAACGTCAGCAAATGCTACTTCATTGGCTTATAATTTTAAGCCCACCTCAACCTCCATGTTTTTAGGTCACCTGAGACAAAGTCTCGAGTGACCTATTGCGATCGCCTTTTGTCCGTCGTCGTCCGTCGTGCATCCGTAAACAATTTACATTTTCGACTTCTTCTCCAAAACCCCTGAACCAATTTCAATGAAATTTTGCAGAAAGCTTCCATGGCCAAAGGTCAACAGAAACAGTTGCCGGTTTGGTCCCTGGCACCCAGGGGCCTGAGGGGCGGGGCCAAAAAGGGTCAAATTGACTAAAATTTCAAAAATCTTCTTCTCAAGACCCAGATATGGTAGAATCAAATACTCTTCATAGATGGAAGGGTCTTAAGGTGCTTTACCAAAATTGTGAATTTCTTGACCCTGGGGTCTCACGTTTTCCCCTGGGGAGGGGGTAAACTTTACTATAGTTTATATGGAGAAATCACATTTTGGACCAACATTTGTTTAATTGCCATTGAAGGTAATTCAATTAAGGTAAGCATTATCAGGTAGCAGTTTGATGGTATGCACATATGAGCCCTGACTGACCCCCGGGGCTGATGGGAGGGGCCAAAAAGGGTCAAATTGACTGGAATTTCAAAAATCTTCTTCTCAAGACCCAGATATGGTAGAATCAAATACTCTTCATAGATGGAAGGGTCTTAAGGTGCTTTACCAAAATTGTGAATTTCATGATCCTGGGGTCTCGCGTTTACCCCTGGGGAGGGGTAAACTTTACTATAGTTTATATAGGGAAATCACATTTTGGACTAACATTTGTTTAATTTCCATTGGAAATAATTCAATTTGGGTTATCATTATCAGTATTCGGTAGCAGTTTGATGGTATGCACATATCAGCCCTGACTGACCCCCCGGGGCTGATGGGAGGGGCAGAAAAGGGTCAAATTGACTGAAATTTCAAAACAAAATCTTCTCAAAGACACAGATATGGTAGAATCAAACACTCTTCATAGATGGAAGGGTCTTAAGGTTTATGACCCTAGGGTCTCACGTTTACCCCCTGGGGAAGGAGGGGGGGGGGCAAAATTTATTATGGTTTATAATGGCAAATGATACTTTGAATATTACATGTTAATAATTATATATAACTTGATTGGAATTATAACCCTGAGTTGACAGTTTGATACTTTGAAAATTTTGAGCTAGCCCTACCCCCAAGGGCTGTAGGGTGGGGCCCAAAGGAGTCAGTGTGCTAAAATTTCTTCTTTTTCCTTGTTTAGAATCAGAGGTGCTAGTTTCAAATACTTTTAGTCTTAAATCTGTATGCTAGATATTGAATAAGGTGGGGTTAGGAATCAGGTGACCGTTAAGGCCCATGGGCCTCTTGTTAATCAATGTCGTTGCCCCCCTCGATCTAGTCTCCTTGTCTCATCAACAAGGCGCACTTATGACTTCAATTTTGCTATGACATATTCCAGGGGTGTAGAGAGAGAAAGTGAACACAACCCCTGGATATCGAGGATGAGGAATCCTCAGATATGGTAAATTGATAAATTGTGGTACAAATGTTGATAAAGAATACCATATAGTATAGACTTTTCTTTTTAGGTTTTTATATTTTTTTCTTTTGTTAGATTTGAAAGACAAGAGAATGAGTGTAGTTGCTCAACTCAAAAGTCTTCAGGCTGAGACAGAAATGATCACCAAGATATTTGAAGATCCAGAAGTTGTACGTCAGATGCAGAGCTCGAGGTATGTTATCAGTTAACATGGATACTTTTTTTTATAATTGCTCATTAAGTATGTTTGACGACTGGCTGTCATAAATAAAATTTTATACTAACCTTTCTCTATCTATTCTATACATCAATTCAAAATCATGAAAAGTTTGAATCAATCAGTAACATCGAGTTGCTACCATTACAATTGAATCATAACCTGTCAGTGTTTATTTCTTTCTGCTCCAGGGATGGAAGACAGTTATTTGAATTTCTGAATAAAGATTATGGCGTAAGTACATAAACTCATTCATTCGCATCTCAAATTATTGAATGATTGTAGCTGATTTAATCAGAGTGAGAGAAAAGGAAAGCAAGGGTTCTTCAAGAAAATGAAATTGAGAGAAGAATTGTCAGTTAATAGACAAAACAGATAAATTCTTTCCATTTTCATAGTAACCATGATATTCATTGATATTTATAATTTTTTAGATTGTCCTGTTTTTTATTTACAAGTACTTTTATTGAAACGGAACAGAATAAACTGTCTCCCTATCCACAAATATACATGTTGTGTGACATCATATTTTCAGTTTGAAGCAAGGATGGTGGACACACTATACGAGTATGCCAAGTTCCAGTACGAGTGTGGAAATTACTCCGGAGCTGCAGAATACCTTTACTTTGTCCGAGTATTGGTAAGTACTTCAAGAAATGAGACTGGTTCGCATATGCTATAACCCTGAGAGTACAGAACTTAATGGTCATTTTAAATCCATTTCAAATCTGTCATTTCAGTCTATCATGGTTTTTGTCGTTCAGAAAATTCCCATTATTAAAGTTAAATTAAAAATAATTTCAATTTGCCTGAGAAGTGCATTTTTACAGTCATTCAGACATGGACACGGTATGTGGTGATTTTATTGGTGCAATACTTTTGCCTCATAATAATAAACAGGACATTTCTGAATTCATTCCCAGAATTGTGAAATGGCTTTATGTGGAACAGGTTTGAATAGAAAATGAAAAATTTACCTGTTTCCAAAACACAGAGCAGATATATAGAGGAACAACGTTAACCTTTACTAATTGTGGATGGCTTTATAAATACAATTTACAACGTTTGATTGTTTGAATAAAGGCATTGGATTTTGGTGATTTAAAATTAAAGCACAACTTCCATAGGCAGTAGGTGATTTAAGTGTTAGAGTAATATTAAGTGATATTCTTGTGCCTTACAGCTGCCCTCCACCGACAAGAACTTCCTGGACACACTGTGGGGAAAGCTGGCCTCCGAAATCCTTATGCAAAACTGGGAGACGGCTCTGGATGATCTGACAAAGTTAAAGGACATCATAGATAATAATGTAAGTCTGATGGACAGAATTCAGATACCAATGATCTTTCATAGATATTAAAATCTTAACAGAACTCTGATACCGAAGATCTTTCATAGATATTGAAATGTTATTCTAATATTGTTTTATTTGGCTAGGATATAGTTGATCATGAGAAATATATATTTGTTTGTCATGTTTTAATGCCAGTATTTATGCTAAATTTTGCAGACCTTTGGATCCGCATTACAGAACTTGCAGCACAGGACCTGGCTAATCCACTGGAGTCTTTTTGTCTTTTTCAACCATCCCAAAGGTCGTGACCTCATCATTGATATGTTCCTGTATCAGCCTCTGTAAGTGGACAATTACATAACAGTACACCACATGATGAAACTCGAAATATTCATTGACTTTTTACATCAGTGCTTAATATAACATCAGTGCTCTTAGTACCGTATTATAATATAACTATTGCCAGTTTGATTTTCTGTGTATAAATGTTTGTCTAGACAGGTAGTATATTCTTTGACAAGAACTACCTTTACTCGACATCAACAGAAGAATGACACTCCATACGTTTGTTATCCTGTAATAGCATATGTCGTAATCTGAATCAACCTTATTTTCAAAAAAAAATGGTGTTATTCATTTCCTGTTAAAATTGTGTGAAATTTCTCAGTAGATTACTACACTTCTCAGAGCAATACTTTGCTGACATAGTTCCCTCAGAAGATGGTATAAATGTATAATAGATACAAAACTTACACTACACAATTCTTCAAATAGAATGAATTAAAATCATCCCTTGTGTTATGTTGAATTTTACATAACATTTTGTTTCAAACTTTGCTACAAAATGTAATTTAAACTATGGAAACTTGCAGTAAGTAATAAAGTGAACACAAATTTGAGATATTGAAAACTAATGTTTGGAGTCCTTTTGCAGGTATCTGAATGCCATACAGACAACCAGCCCACACATACTGAGATACCTAACCACCGCTGTAATCACCAACAAAGGTCGTAGGAGGGCCGTCCTCAAAGACCTGGTCAAGGTCATCCAGCAGGTAGGTAGAGGTCAATATAGACTTTTCTAATACAGCAGGATCAATGTCAGATTCTGAAATCAATTACAGATATATCATCTTCAGATATGCTATGATGAATATCTTTGTTCTAGAGTTAGCATAGTAATGAACATCCTTTTACTTCAACCATTTAACAAGCAAAATTTTGGTGGTATGACTGGGTTTCACGATATTTCAAGGGAGGTATATAAAAGTATCTTGAAGAAAAAATGAAAGACATTGATGGTAAAGGCAATAAGGGAATTAGCAGTGAAATAGGGGAAATTCTATTGAGTTTTAATTACTGTGTACATATCTCCTTGACTTGTTGAGTTACATAGATCTGCCCTAGTACATGTATATATTTTTTCCTACAAAAGATATGCATTTAACAGATTTGTTGTAGAATAAGTATGCATCTCAGGAAAGACATGCTTTGTTACTGTTTCAATTGTCTACTGCAAATCTATGTATGCTTTGAATTATAATTGGATGCCACTGTATAGTATTACCTATATGCCTTTTTAGGTTAGGGAACAATTGCTAGTGATTTTAACCCACAAATGTACACCCTTTCTTATCATTATAAAGCTCATTATTTCTGATCACATTTGCTTTTTTGAAAAATTCGTTATAACACAAGTAGCCTCCCTTTAGCTGTGACACTATGGAGGATAGTGGATTCGAAAACATGTTCATTGCTGTGTGAGGGGGAGTGATAGCACACTAAGAGCTTTGTAGGAATTGTTTTGATGAGTCCAATTTTTTTGAAATCAAATTGACTTTCAAGTGACTTGTGCAGTACTTCAAAACGGCTTCAAGTTTTAGTCAAAACTTATGTACAAGACTTTAAATTTTGCTTTAATGATGCTGAAGGGCAACTGAAAAATGAAATCCAAGTGATTGTATTTAAAAATGTTCAGAAGTGTTGCCTATATTTTTAGCTCGCCTGGCCCGAAGGGCCAAGTGAGCTTATCCCATGGTGCAGCGTCCGGCGTCCGGCGTCCGGCGTCCGGCAACTTTTTCCTTTAAAATGCTACTTGTCCTGAATGGCTCAGAGGATTTTGACCAAATTTGGTCAGGAGCATCATTGGCCAAAGGGTTCTCAGTTTTGTATAAACGGAGGGTATAACCCCCTTGGGGGCAGAGGGGCGGGGCCAAATAGGGGGAAAATAGGTAAATCTTTAAAAATCTTCTTCTTCTCAACCAATAGAAGGATTTTGACCAAATTTGTCCTAGAGCATCTTTGGACAAAGGAGACTCAAGTTTGTATAAACGGAGGGTGTGGCCTCTTTGGGGGCAGAGGGGCGGGGCCAAATAGGGGAAGTAGAGGATTTTTTCTCTCCTACTATACAAGTGAAGGGATTTAAACCAAATGCAGTCTGAAGCTTGGTCAGGAGCATCATTGGCCAAAGGGTTCTCAGTTTTGTATAAACGGAGGGTATAACCCCCTTGGGGGCAGAGGGGCGGGGCCAAATAGGGGGAAAATAGGTAAATCTTTAAAAATCTTCTTCTTCTCAACCAATAGAAGGATTTTGACCAAATTTGTCCTAGATCATCTTTGGACAAAGAAGACCCAAGTTTGTATAAACGGAGGGTGTGGCCCCTCTGGGGGCAGAGGGGCGGGGCCCCATAGGGGAAATAGAGGATTTTTTTTCTCCTGCTATACAAGTGAAGGGATTTTAACCAAATGCAGTCTGAAGCATGATTAGGGACTAAAGAATCAATTTTGTTTAAACTGAGGTGTGTGGATTCCCCTTCTTTGGGGCAGATTAGTGGGGCCCATTAGGGGAAATAGAGGATTTTTTTTCTCCTGCTATACAAGTGAAGGGATTTAAACCAAATGCAGTCTGAAGCATGCTTAGGGAGAAAAGAATCAATTTTGTTTAAACTGAAGTGTGTGGGCCTCCTTCTAAGGGCAGATGGGTGGGGCCCATTAGGGGAAATAGAGGATTTTTTTTCTCCTACTATACAAGTGAAGGGATTTTAACCAAATGCAGTCTGAAGCATGATTAGGGACTAAAGAATCAATTTTGTTTAAACTGAAGTGTGTGGATTCCCCTTCTTTGGGGCAGCTTAGTGGGGCCCATTAGGGGAAATAGAGGATTTTTTTGCTCCTGCTATACAAGTGAAGGGATTTTAACCAAATGCAGTCTGAAGCATGATTAGGGACTAAAGAATCAATTTTGTTTAAACTGAAGTGTGTGGGCCTCCTTCTAAGGGCAGATGGGTGGGGCCCATTAGGGGAAATAGAGGATTTTTTTTCTCCTACTATACAAGTGAAGGGATTTAAACCAAATGCAGTCTGAAGCATGCTTAGGGAGAAAAGAATCAATTTTGTTTAAACTGAAGTGTGTGGGCCTCCTTCTAAGGGCAGATGGGTGGGGCCCATTAGGGGAAATAGAGGAAAACATTAAAGATCCTTCTCCTCCTGTACCGTTGAAGGGATTTTAACCTAACCAAACTTGTTTTAGAGAATCTTTGGGCAAAGGGAATTTAATATTTATAAATTGAAGATGCAACTTTGTTACTTGTACTCCTTTGATAAACCTGAATGGTACTCAGCAGGTTTTAACTTGAAAAATAAAATACCAGGTGAGCTATTAAGGCCCCTGGGCCTCTTGTTCATTTGTATCATGGTTGTGTCCTTAATATGTGTTCCAGGAATCGTATACCTACCGTGACCCCATCACAGAGTTTGTGGAGTGCCTGTATGTCAACTTTGACTTTGATGGTGCCCAGCAGAAACTCAGGGATTGTGAAGAGGTAAGTTTTTTATTATCAGTTCTGTAAAGAAGTGCTCTACAAGACTGCTTCCACATGCAATTTCAACCTTTGTGTTATTAAAAAAATATTGTACTGTTTCCTTTACAAAAGAAACAGAATTTTTCCATATTGAAAAATATTTCAGTCCAGTTTGCACCCTTTTTTTGGAAACTTACCAAAAAAAGAAATCTGTTGTACTTGTGTTCATATCCCTTAACACCAATATTACAAATTTGATTTATGAAGCAAATAATTAAACAATCATGGTTTATTGCAGGTCTTGGTGAATGACTTCTTCCTTGTGGCTTGTCTTGATGATTTCATTGAAAATGCTAGATTGCTGATTTTTGAGACCTTCTGTCGGATACACGAGTGCATCAGCATCAAGTGAGTACATGTAGTATAACTTATGACTATCTGAAGAACATGACATTGTATGAACTCTTCTTTGGCCAAAGATTTTTTTATTGAGATAACTGCACAGACCCTACTCATATTCTTTTATACATTATTACTTAATAGTTATCATTTTGTTTGTAAACGGTGAAATTAAAATATATCTTTAGAGAAGTTTGCCTGCATTTTTTTTTAAATATGTATGTGCTCGAGTTAATATGTATCGGACAAACACCACAAATTTTCCATTACAATATCCAATCCTGAATTTGTCCATAGCATGTTGGCAGAGAAGTTGAACATGACATCAGAAGATGCAGAGAGGTGGATTGTAAACTTGATCAGAAACGCTCGTCTAGATGCCAAGATTGACTCAAAGCTGGTAAGATGACACAGATTGAGCATTAACTAGAAATATCAAAGTTTTACTTTCTACACAAACCATGTACATATTGAAAGTGTTGCAACGTTTCAAGACTGACTGGTCCCTTTAAGGCGTCTGACATTCTGCTACCAATAGCCCTCCACCACTGGGTCGCGGGTTCGAGGCCGACATTGGGCGGGATTTTTCTCCGGGAACTCCTGCTTTCCTCCACCATCTGGCACATCCTTAAATGACCATAGCTGTTAATAGGACGTAACACACAAACAAACCAGATGGACCCTTTGCTAAGCTATGAGTCATAGGTTGAGAAAGGGACCAGAGGGTCCTGAAATGTTACGGCACGTTTAATAAGTACATTGTTTGTGTAGGAAGTTAAACTTTGATATAACATGTATCCAAACCGATGAATCTTATTGAAGACATTAACTAGAAAGCTAGTACATATCATCAACTCCACAATATTTGTGTTGATCTGGAAAAACAATCCTCTAGACATCGGCATTTAAACAGTGAATTTTGGTTGTTGATTATAATACTTGTTAATTAATCTGACCAAAAGAGCCAGGTGAAGTTACAATATAACTTATAAGGAGACACTTTTTTTGGCATTCAGATATTGTTCAGATAGTGAGAATTTTCCTTGATGCTTGTTCAATAAATGAAGAGAAAAGATATTGGTATACTTGAGACCATACAGGGAGCAGTTTTAGCCTGTTTACATTTTATTATTAAAAGTTTTCTAATCTGTACAAAGATATTTTAATAGTACAAATCATACAGGGAACAATGTTAGCTTGTTGGACTAATGTTATCAAAGTTTTCCTAATGCATATCTTCCTCTATCATATCAACAGGGGCATGTTGTCATGGGAACACAGGCTGTGTCGCCATACCAACAGGTTATAGAAAAAACAAAAGGTCTAGCCTTCAGGTCACAGATGATGGCCATGAACATTGAGAAGAAACTTGGACTCCGTACTGATAGTGTAAGTAAATCATGTATATAAACAAAATGGCTTTTTGAAGGGAATTTTCTTTCAAAAAATAAATACTAAGACATTTTCTCTGAATTGACTGAGGGTTACATGCCCCAGTTACTGTCCTTACATATTACCAATGTTTGGTTAAGAAATATAGAAAACTGAAAAAAATAGTAGGATGATAGTTCTGGCTAGTGTTGATATTTTTAAATATTCATGGAACAAACTTCATTATCTTTAAGCTATGTTTTATGTTTTACTCTTCAGGTGCCACAGTGGGATAAATCTGTCGAGAGTTAATAGATACGTCATTTAGTGTGCTAAAAGACTTTAATAACGCCAGTCGCAGCAAACAGACTTTATAACATCAGTCGCAGTCGAGAGGGAATTTTTCAGTTTACTGCATAGACAGTGAATTTGGACTTTCAAATGAAGTGCTCTAAAAAGAAACTAAAATTAAATTATATCAACTGGACGATTTGCGTGGTGTTTATTGTAGAAAGTTATCAGAAAATGATGTAAAGATTCCTCAGTTCTGGTTGAAGTTTATTGAAGGTAGGCACTTAAAAGTATGACTTCAGGTAAGGTTGTTGCAGAATTTAACGACGGGAGGGGTGTGAAGTACTTTTCTAGGCCCCAGCACAATTTAAGTATTTTAGTGATATATTAATAAAGGTGCCACACACCTCCCTTATCCAATTATGGTTTAGCCACACCTTGGAAAGAACATGACAACAAATATTGGAAGCTATTTTGATCCTTATTACGAGGAAAAATTGAAAATATTATCAAATTTCATATAGAGTAATTCTCAAGACCATGGTGAGCTTATGCCATACCGCAGCGTCCGTCAACTTTTCCTTTAAAACGCTACTAGTCATGAACGACTGAGCAGATTTTGACCAAATTTGGTCAGGAGCATCCTTGGGGGAAGGGGAACACATTTTGTATAATTGGTGGGTCTGGCCCCCCTGGGGGCTGAGGGGCAGGGCCCAATAGGGGAAATATAGCAAATTCTTTAAAATCCTTCTTCTGTAGGAATGAAAGGATTTGTTCCATATTTGGTCTGAATTATCCTTGGGTGAAGGGGAACCAATATTGTATAAACCGTGGGTGTGGCCCCCAAGGGGCCTGAGAGGCGGGGCCCAATAGGGGAAATATAGCAAATTCTTTAACATCCTTCTTCTTCTGTAGGAATGAAAGGATTAGTTCCATATTTGGTCTGAGGCATCCTTGGGTGAAGGGGAACCAATTTTGTATAAACTGTTGGTGTGTCACCCAGGGGCCTGAGAGGCTAGGCCCAATAGGGGAAACATAGCAAATTATTCTTTAAGATAATTTGGTCCATATTTGGTGTGGAGCATGCTTGGGTAAAGGGGAACTGATTTTGTATAAACAGTGGGCCTGGCCCCCCTGGGGGCTGAGGGGCGGGGCCCAATAGGGGAAATATAGCAAATTCTTTAAAATCCTTCTCCTTCTGTAGGAATGACGGGATTTTGTCCATATTTGGTCTGAAGCATCCTTAGGTAAAGGGGAACCAATTTTGTATAAACCGTGGGGCTGGCCTCCCAGGGGCCTGAGAGGTGGGGCCCAATAGGAGAAACATAGCAGATTATTCTTTAAAATCCTTCTTCTGTAGGAATTGGTCCATATTTGGTGTGGAGCATCCTTGATGAAGGGAAACCCATTTTGTATAAATGATGGGTGTGGCCCCTCTGGGACCTGAGGGGCGGGCCCAATAGTGGAAATATAGGTAAAACCTTTATAATCCCACTTCTACCATAGGGATTAAGGGATATTTTCCTAATTTAGGAATATCCTTAGGGAAAAGGGATTCAATTTCCTATAAACAGCGAGTGTGGCCCCCCTGTGGGCAGAAGGGAGGGGCCCAATAGGGGAAACATAGCAAATTCTTCAAAAAAAATCTTCTTCTGTAGGAATGACAGGATTTTGTCCAAATTTGGTATGAAGCAGCCTTGGGTGAAGGGGAAACAATTTTGTATAAGCAGTGGGTGTGGTCTCCCAGGGGGCAGAAGGGCGGGGCTCAATTCGAGAAATAGAGGTAAAACCTTTTACCCTTCTTCGACCATCAGGATTATGGGATTTTATAGTTATTTAGTCTGGAGCATCAATGGACCAAGGGGACTCAATTTTGTATAATTGGTGGGTATGGCAACCCCTAGGTTGCATGGGGGTGGGGCTCTGTTTGAAGTTTGTTCTCGCTATATCTCAAGTACTGGATGGATCTTTCTGAAATTTCATATGTATTTTTTAAACATATTCAGGTGAGCGATACAGGTCCTCTGGGCCTCTTGTTGTTTTATGGAGTGGCTTGAAGGCTAATTATTACAGCCTAGTTAAATCAGTCATTTGTGTGGTAATCGGCCTGTTGTCTGTCCCTTCATCTGCTAGTAAGCACATTGTATTAGCATAATTGATCAGTAGGGCAAGGAAACCCTGCTACCCTGGTTTATTTTAGAGACCTAGGGCTAAAAAATTAAAAAAAACTTATGTTCCATGTTGAGCAAATAGTTTGAAAATGGTTTTGCAACTGTGATAATATTAGTCTTGATTCTCCATGAAACTTTTTATCAATTAGTTATAAGGGCCAAGCAAGAAAACGAATCAACTACAGAAAAATTGCCGCCCCTCCAATATTACTTATAATTTGATAGTTCCTACTTCATGAATATTTTGACAATTACATAGTCATATCCAAGTCCCACTATACTGCCGTTTTCTCTATATAAGGTAGCCTCCCCTTAACCGTTTGGATCTAACCGATTGAGCAATCTGGTCAGCGAAAGTGTCCTGGCAAACTTGCTACAATTATGTCCATAGTGAATTTATATAATTTAGGGAGGTCACTGTATATATACAAAAACCACTGCAGTTGGTAAGGGATCCTTAAGTCCAATACATTGGCTTGCCACTCCCAAAAAACTGGATTTCACTGCTTCACACACAGCTTTATACGATCAGTTACTGTCCGTTGATTTATCCGTACTAGCACCGTTTTTTTAATCAAGAGGACTAGTCTGAAAAGTTTGCGTTCTTTTTGTCAACAAACCGCTTGTTAAGTTCTTTTTCAATTACGTCTCTTGTTACATTGCAAGCCATTGCCCCTATATCTAAAATTATCCTCCCAACTTTCAAGAATTGTTGATAAAGTATTGGGTAACATATCAAAATATGTTGCAATTTTCTTTTTAGGCAGGCTTTTTCTCGTTTATTGAAAATCACTCGCAACATAAATCGCAAAAACAAATCAAACGCTTTAAAACTGAACACATAGAATCGGTCATGTAATTAAACGATATTTGTGAATTACAATTGACAACAACTGTACCGACCGTGTAATGAGCCGTGTGGGTACCTGGGAATCGACTTCGACTTCCGGATGATGGGGCTAATACACATCAACTAATTATACCTTTAAAACGTAAATGAGGGCATAGACTATATTCGTTTTATATACTTTGAATTTAGTTGAAGCTGGTCAATTCATAATAGTTCGTTATGTCTATTTATTCACCAAACCCGAGCTCGCTTTCGGCGTGTTGTAATGCAGAAACTTGTTCAATGGTTAGCAGTGCTAGCCCATGTGTGCGAATTAAGGTTCACAGAGTTGTTAATATCAGTGGCCGAATTTTTCGATGTAATAGAAATGAAATTTTAATTGATGAACTGTTGAATTGTTACGACTTAATTATATAGCTGGAGACAAAAGTGTTATTTTAGACAGAACAAGCTTGCTCGTTTTCGCTTTACATTACTCTAATCAACATGGAGTAAACTTCCCTACTTTCAAAATGACAACAATATTGAAAGGATCTAAAATGAAGTCACAGAAATGTTACGTGATTATAATTACAGACGCATTATACTTATTGATTTTTTCTCCCAATAAAAACTTATATTCCATACCATCACATCGAAATTAAACTCTTGGTAGATGACCATAGAAACACTCCACTTTCTATTTAAATAAGATGCTATCGAGCTGAGGATAACTTCCGTATTATGGATAATAGAAAGCTACCAGGGTTAATTGCCATACGCCAAAAATGCCGAAAATCACCAGGCACTTTTGTTTTGAAAAAGGAGCGTGGTGCTCCGAACATTCTACTTTATTTTGTCCATACTGTCGACATCATTTAGTGTTATATTATCATATTTATCCAACCCCCATGACCAACATTTTTAGGTCACCTGAGCTTTAGCTCAAGTGACCTATTGCTATCCGTTTTCGTCCGTCGTCGTCCGTCGTCCGTCGTCCGTCGTACGTCGTCCGTCGTCCGTCGTCCGTCGTCCGTCGTCCGTTAACATTTTACATTTCAAACTTAAAGTCAAGTTCTGCTGGGCCGATTGAACTGAAAGTTGATAGGAATGATCGCCTCATGGTCCTGACAAAGTGTTGTTATTTTTCGGGTCGATCAGAAATCCAATATGGCCGCCACGGCCACCATTTTGAAAACCTATTTCAAACTTAAAGTCAAGTTCTGCTGGACCGATTGAACTGAAAGTTGGTAGGAATGATCGCCTCATGGTCCTGACAAAGTGTTGTTATTTTTTGGGTCGATCAGAAATCCAATATGGCCACCACGGCCGCCATTTTGAAAACCTATTTCAAACTTAAAGTCAAGTTCTGCTGGACCGATTGAACTTAAAGTTTGTAGGAATGATCGACTCATGGTCCTGACAAAGTGTTGTTATTTTTCAGGTCAATCATAAATCCAATATGGCCGCCACGGCCACCATTTTGAAAACATATTTCAAACTTAAAGTCAAGTTCTGCTAGGCCGATTGAACTGAAACTTTGTAGGAATGATTGACTCATGGTCCTGACAAAGTGTTGTTATTTTTCAGGTCGATCAGAAATCCAATATGGCCACCACAGCTGCCATTTTGGTAAACTATTTCAAACTTAAAGTAAAGATCTACTTGGCCGATTGAACTGAAACTTTGTAGGAATGATCGAATCATGGTCCTGACAAAGTGTTGTTATTTTTCGGGTCAATCAGAAATACAATTTGGCTGCCATGGCCGCTATTTTGCTACTAAGTTCTAATAGGCCGATCTCACTTAAAATTGGTCTAGGAATGATCAGCTCATGGTCCTGACAAAGTTAAGTTAACATTATACTATTTTTTACTCAAATTGGTACATATTTCAACAACAAAAATAAATACTATAGACTCAGGTGACCGTTAAGGCCCATGGGCCTCTTGTAATAATAATAGGCTTTATTTACACTAGATGACAAAATTGAGTCAACGAATCGTCTTACATTTTGTCAAGTACATGTAGTTATACAATATACAATAATTTACAAAATGTACATAAAACAGAGAATCATATAATGTAGTCCTACCAGCTCGTTAACTTTAAAAATATCTTCTGTCTAAATGCTATTATGTAAACTTCTTAGTTGTTTGAACGGTGTAGGTAATCCACTTATAAAGCAATACACCA